TATGTGGAATGCAGTTGAGTCACGATCAGGTGACAACGTGACGGTAAACACTGAGTCAGTGCATGAGGTGGGTTGGTCTTGATTAGCGGCCTTGAATGAAACAAGTGAGCGAGCGCATTGATTGGATCGTGTCTTACTTACCCGATCGATCCTTATGATGAGTCAGCCCATCGGGGATAACGCAACTTTAGTTACAGCGATTGGTTGCTAATGTGCCGAGAGCGTAAGGCCGCTTGGAGTACTGCATAGCGGTTACCTATACCTAATACACAAAACTCTAAATATGATTCATGCAAACATCTATTGATTTGGGACTACTTTTAGTTTAGCTTTCACGCTAAACCAACCAGTTTGTTCCCTTTTAGAAAACCTTTGATAAATCGGTTCCTATCACGAATGAAAAAGGAGCAAGCAAATGTACACGCCACAGACACCGTTCCCAATAAGTAGCGATAAATCATGTCATCTGACAACTATGAACCGTGAAATAGCGCTTCGCTTATGATGAAAAAAGTCATTTTAGTGTTGAAAACTATCAAGGGAAATGCAGCTGGTGGTAAGAAGAGTGACGTTCACATGGTTCGAATAAGGGAGCTTCTGGACATCGGACCAACTTAACTACCAATGTTGTCAGATACTACTCATATTTGTGAATAGGATGTAAAATAGTGCGGTTGGTGGTGGTTTCCTTCAAAGATCAAGAATCAGCCAGACTACCGAGGGCAATTTTCTCTGTCTCAAAAAATAACTATCGACTGCTCAATTCATAACCCGGTCTGTTGCCAGGAATTGCGATCACATGTTTCAAATGCGATTTCTGTTTTATGTATAGCAAATTAGTGCTATCCGAAATTTAATCTGTAATAAGCCACTTCCCTCGACCGAGCAGAGCGTTGTGGAATTATGAAAACATCACTATGATTACATTTTAGCGTGTGTATTTGTGTAGGTTAAAGGCAACTAACCCCAAAAAATAGAAAGAGATAAGCTGTAGGTGACACCAAGGTAGATGGGATGGGCATGCGATGTAAACACATCGCTGCTCCTTGCCAAGGTTTTCACAACCTCTGTACATCTGGATAAAGACACTGGTAAATTAAAAAACCTAGGAACTAAAGTCCTACTTTTGATATGGTCGAAAAGGTAAAACAACACCATGTCAAGGTTCCGTACCCCTTGAATTTTTATCCGAAAAAAGGAGACCCGCTTAGAACAGTGTGTGAACATGTTCCCCTTTTTCTTGTGGGCGAAAACAGATGTTACATGGACGGACAAAGATCAATAAATCTGGTTTATTGGTGAAAAAGATTAAACTTGAACGAATCAGACGTTTGAAACTAATATGAACATGGTTTAAGAAAAGAGGAACGGTATTTCAGTTGAATGATAACTCGTACAAGTTCGATATTTGCGGCTCCTGGTCCCGATAATTACAGTATGGTTCATGGCACAGACCTAAAGAAATTTTGGAGCTTTCTGATCCAGAGCCTAGAGTGTCATGTGAGAGATGCCGTGAGCCGAACGGTGAACTTAAGACGTTCCGGAACTGGGAGTAGTTGTCTGGTGACTGAGAGGAAGGATTTGTCCGTAAGATGTTTAAAGGTCTTGAAGCTGGACGCCGTGCATATTTGCCTCATTTCAGTCGAAACTTAGACTAGTCTAGTTAGGGAACTTTATATTATATATATATTTTCACATATTTCTGGATTCAGACTGTGTGCCAAAAAAATCATGGTACAATGATCTTTATGAAAAAGAAAGACGATCCATGACTTGCATGTGGTCGGAATACTGCCAGGTTGCACAGACCAAGGCAGGGAAATTTTATTGAGGAATCCACAACCGGAGCCTTCAGCTAGCCAAAGCCTGACTCGCAAGGCAGCCGGGCGGTGTGCAAAAACCTGAATTCATTGGGGGCCAGTGTCCAGTTCATCGGATTATACGCCTTTCGCGCGGGGTCAAACGTCCAAAGTGCCCAATACACATCGATGCCCACTTGAGCCGGTGGCCATTGCCACAACCAGGAAGTTGTATGAGTGGTTTCGTACGCCTCCTGTTGGTTGGGTTGGAATCAGGGTTTTGGGCCAACTCCCCTAGGTAAACTACCAGTGGTCTATCAACCTGGTTATAGCACCGGATGTCGGCTTTTCGTCTTCTCATTTTGGTGGGAAACACCTCGGCCACGAGAAGGCAGTGAGTATGGCTTCCTCAGCAGAGGTTATTCGAGACGCCTGGTTGTGTGGGAGCATTTTCCGAGGTACAAGAGAAGAGTGACCAGCTGCAACCACAAACACGCACCCCCGGCCATACTGAGGCATTTGGAGATACTTCGAACGGCATTAAACTTCAGTTGGATCAGTTAGATCAAAGTACCGTTTTTAGACACTTTGAAATTTATCCCGTACTCGTCCATGAAATCGGTTGTCCTATGATTAATTTTATACAAAATTATCAATCATTGTGCTCTATGTACCTGAGCGAATTGTCGATTATTTTATGGAAATCGAACCTAATTCTTGCTTTCACCCCGACAGATTTCTCTTTGGAAAGACAGGTTTTGGCTGAACGAGTCTATCCGGAATTGCGGGAGTACACACGTGAACAATACGGTCTGGAATTACAGGTATTTGAAATGATAATTTGACAACCAGAAATTAATGAAATAAACAATATTGCACTCATACACATTTTGCTTTACTCATATTCATTCACTCAATCACTAACCCGGAACGGACCAGATCCGAGTGTTGCTCCTGTAAGAACTCATTCATTCAGAAGTATTGACTTGGATTTCTCGCGGGCAGGGTGTGTAGGTAAGTGAGCACTGTGCCAAACAAGTTGTACCAGGGTTGAACAGAATTACTCAGGCATTCCAGTTTGTTCATAGGTGTTCCGTATTAATAATGGCCAGTTAGTTACAGATCTAAAAATCATGACGGAGACCGGCTCCTACCGGAAGCCTCTCCTTCACTTAGATCTTCCGCAACATCTATCTCACACTATTGCTGGAAAGGATGTTCTAGGTAAATTAATAAACTTCAACAAATATTCACACAAAATTGTTTTTGATACGTTTGTGCTTCAAAATGCGATTTTCGCAAGTTCTGTTGGTTGGATGAAGCTATAAAACAAATATGCAAGATAAGGAAAATCAAAATTGATCCCATATTTTGAGTGAAAATTCACATTTAACTCACCGTTACTTGTGAGTAGTTATGTGAATAATCCAAGTCAAATCAAGGAATCACTTTCGACACCCCGAGGATTGGCTATGCAGTAACGACATGATCACAGAAGGTCAGTAATAAACGAATAGGAAATATAATACAGACATTTATAGCGAACGGCAAAATCACAAAACCAACAGTGGCGTTTATCATCCTTTCAGATTAACTTATTACGCAGATTTGACCATGTCTCGGACCTCATCCTCAAGCAGAATTCTCAACTCATCCGGTTAATCATACACTGAGTTTCGTCCTTGTTTGAGCTCATCATAAGTACACATACCGTGCCCTCCGCGTTTTGAACTATAGACCCATCATATGGAAGGCGTGTGCTACCACTATGCTAACCAGCCCGTACCAGGGCCGAACCGAATAAGCACTACCTGTTTGTTCAGGTGTTATCTTGAACAATAGTCAGTCAGTTCATTTTTGACATGACAGGAATGAAACAACTTTCTGATAACGCCAATTCCACCAAATCAGGTGCTGCACGCAGGTTGACTTGCCATAAACCTGCCCGGCTGCAATGATGATTCGCATTTGACTCACATTTACTTGTTAGTAGTGGGAGTATTTTGAGTGAAATAACTTAAGAATCAGATCCCTTTATCGTGATATTGCTTATTTTCTATAATTTAAGTAACAATGAAAATGGCAGCCCAATGGATTACCAAATGTAAGACGTTCTCTCTCTCTGTTCAGATTATCGATCCCAGGCCACAAAACAAAACTCTACTTTTGGAATCAGTGAACTATCGTGAGTTTTTCATCGAACAATGTCGGAAATTCTGCAAATCTACCGCGGACTGTTGTCCTGTGGTAAGTGAACTTTGAAAGCATTCATTTTGACATGGATTGTTTTCTTTTGATTTGAAATTTCATCCCCAGAGGATAAAATTAGCATATTTTTCAATTTTAAACTGGTTTCCTCTAACAATCAAAAAATCACTTCTCTTTAGGTGACAGTGAGTGAGATGTGCATTCGATGTACTTTGTTCTTTGCAAATGAAAATTCTAGCATGAAACAAAATCTTTTGTTAAGTGTTTTAAGTATGCACTGAACCGTCTGGTAACTAACATTTTGCATTTTTTGGAATGAGACAAATAGCAACAACAACCTCTCTCTATGTATATATATATCATGATAAGTAGTATATGAATAACTAGAAAAAGTTTTCCCTGAAGCACCTGACTAGTTTTACGGTTCTCGCCACTCGTCAGGCATGCGTATTCGGTAATCCTTTGCAGTTCATTCATATACTTGTACCCAGGATGTGTATTTTCGTCAAAACAACCTTGTTTGCAACACCGGGTGACTTTGAATAGACAGCTCTTTCAGAGCTCCAATCCACTGAAGAATTAATACTATGATTTGATTTTGGGTTAGAAGCTACTAACCGTAACACAGGTGACTTGAACGTCTTTACAGAACATTTCATAACAATTAGTATATCTATATCTATCAAAATAAGTGTTTCTAAATTGATCTTTTGAGCCTTTCTGCATCGCAAATGTCGACTTCATGGGACAAAATGTATGAGAGCAGTGCGATCCTTGGATCTTTGACAAATGGATTGGAGGTCTGTACGTGTTCACCTGGAGTAGGCAGTGTTCAGATGCTGCCAGTATGAGATAACTTGCGAGTGTTGTGGATGGGAGCAGGGGGGGTTGCTCCGAGCCGTATCGTTCTTGCAATATCGGCATTATGAGTGATCCACTGACTCTGACCCCCCCACCCCCGACCCGGGAGGGTCAAAGCCTAATCCCCATTCGATGAGATGATAGTAATAAAATGTATAGATCGGGTTTGACAGTATGAATGACTAAAGCCTCGGCAAAATTACAGTAACTTTGTGTTTGCTGTGTTTTAGATGATCTGCATGCATGAGTTGAATTGGTACAATGTTTTTGAATCTTAAAATAGTCCCATATAGAATGTAGAAAACGGTGTTTGTAGCAGGCGTTTATATATATATATATCCATATATCTATATATAAATATATATATATATATATATAAGATGATCATAGTACTGATATTTGATTGGCCGATTAAAGCTTCGTTATCAACGACGACAAAGGCGAGCAGACGGAGCAAAGGAACATGACAACGCTAGTGATATGGTGATGGAAGGTGATAACACGAGGGCCCCGGCTGGCGAACGAGTCAAGAATAGGGCCCATCCAACCAGATGCGCAGACGTAGCGGCTGGAGGTACTTTGCGAGACAATGTCGACTACCACTCAAAACGAACGAATCGACAAGTACAGCCCGACGGACAATCGGCATCCACCGAATACCACAACGACGGAGCTGTAGATCTCTTGTAATGAATCGACAAACGTTTTGCCAGGCGACTCGCAATCTCGTTACAGTATGGTTTCTACCGTATTTTACGAAACTTCATCCCACTCTCTTGTCTTAGCTCACAACCTTCATTCTAATCTGCTCATCTGTCTCTCTAACGTTGTCCATTTCTTCTTTGTTCTCTCAACCCCTCCGCCTGTTGCGATACATCGAAAAGAAATCTCTTCGCAAATACCGTTTTCTAAATTATTTTTGTCCCAATAAGTGTTGTGTTATCGAAGATCTAATTCTTTTCTGCTCATTCGATGACGTAACAGTTTAGAACTTTTCGTCCATCGTTTTCTTAAGCCACATCGGGATGTGTTCGGCCATTGGGGGACGCAACTGCCTCTCTCTCTCTGCCTATGTAAACGATTGAGCATCTGCACTGGAATTGGTAAATGCAGTTTGATTTGGCGACCGACGGGGCCAATGGTTCTTTCATCCATATCGATGATACCCGGGTAACAGTGAAGACAATGACCGAGTCAACCACGTAGTAGACGCGGTTGGCGACACAGTTCAACCGCTTGCTGAATACTTCATTCACGTCATCGCCTTTGTATGATAATAATAATTAATGTCAATAATAAAATGATAGAATAAACTTGCTGGTGATGGAAGAGTGAATAGTTTTCAGTTCCTTGGTAAGAAAAATTCTCTGTTGGTAATTGCTAAGAAGACTGCAAGAAAAAACTTCGGGGAGATAAAATGACACCACCACGTAATGCGCATTGAAAAATAGCGGAATTCGCTTGAAACACACACAAACACTGACTGATACATTTGTTGAACGATATTGGGTAGCATCTTAAGTCCTTCAGTTTTCAGTTACTGGTTTTCCAGATTAGACGCATATCCTGAAGACGGACCGTTTACTTTGTGTTGTGAAAACAGCCTCAAGCGGAAGTGATCTTCGAAACAGGTGAAAGCTAAGGTCCTTCATTCACTCTGACGGCCCTGGAACAAAGCTTTATATCTTATCCCAACCAAATCCATTTAATTTATCATACCAACGTTTATTTTTGAGTTGTTCCGCTGAATGAGAATACATGTCTCATTCATATAGGCCCATGTCCGTTAGATACGCCAGTCTGTTGATATTTTTGTCTGACTGAATCTATTATGAATGACGCTCGTTTTAAACAGTTCGAGTCCGCTCCCCGTATGTGCAAATCGTTTTGTGTGAATGTGTAGTAACTTTAATATGAGTAGCATGCACTGAAGACGAAACACGAATCACGGATTAGCAATCTCGGAAATAACGTAAGCACTGGATCACACTGGCACTAGCACGCAATATCCCACGTAACTGAGACGCGAGGAAAAGGCCGGAGGAGTAGTAGTTCGTTTATTGAAAAGAATTAGGCTAATTAAATAATATGTACAAACAAGCTCATTGTTCATCCAGGTCACTGACAATCACGTTCTATTATTTCTGCCGTTGTTCAGCTTGTCTGGGCCACGCTGTTTCTGATTGGCTGGTACAATCGACCTATGGTATGTAGTCCCTGGAGCTGTGACACGCACGCGTCTTGCTGACGTCACATGTGAAGCTTGATTGATTATAGTTGTCCAAAAAGTGTAACGTGTCACTCCAGGGTATGTGTCATTTCGTAGGCTAGGATCACCACAGAATGCTATTCTGGCAAATTTCCTTTCGATTTAATATGGTCATTTGGTATTATTTGATCCAAGAAAGACCGATCATCTCAATTTTTGGTCTCAGTTCCTCGATTCCCTTTCTCGTTTGCTCAATGCAGATATTGTTTGGTCAAAAACTCGGTCTACCCTTGCTACCTACACGAATTCCAGCATCCATATGGGACTTGATCATGAATCGCGCTGGACAGAAGCGGGCAAATCCACTTCACCTGCTAGTCAAACAACTCGACTTTGATCACTGGTATGGGTTGGACAAAAACGGTCTCCCTGAACCGCAGCGTGTGCTAAAATCACTGGATCAGCTTTATCCGGGACTGTTGGCTGAAGTCAGTTTACACTTGGAAACACTGTTAACGTGTAACTCGTGTTTTCTACCCCCCGCTATGTGCAGGTGTAGGCGGTATCCGTGTGTGTATGTGTATGTGTGTGTGTGTGTGTTAGAATCCCACCAAATCTAACAATTTTTTTCACAAATTAAAACTAATGACTACTGTCTTCCATTATCTGTGGAAAAAAATAATTTGAATAAATAATCCATCTTTGGAATTTATTCATAAACTGTATCTTTAGAAAACTTTGCAGGACGAACAACTCACATATTGAATAAAGGATTGCACATACCTCTGAACGTTGGGTGAGTGAGATTAGTGTAGAATTCGGAATAGGGATGAATCACGGATCACAAAACATGATTGCATCTGAAGTACAGAATCGCACTAGCAATCGTGCGTCAGAATTTTCTGTTGTCGAGACCCAGGCCACAGAAGTAACAGTTCGTTTATTGAGAGAAATCAGTGATATTAATTAAATGATGGGTAAATAGAAATATTATTGAGCAAATGGAGATCAACCAATTGCCGTTCTCGTTCTCCGAGTCACACGGCTTCTGATTGAATTACATGATCTTTGATTGACCGATATTTTTGGTCCGATGTCCAGAAGCTGGAAAGCGTAGGTGCTTCGTTGTTGTCATCTCGAAGAGTTGACTCATCAAAATCTGTCCTTTTGGTGAAATCTCCTGGCACAACTAGCAGAGCGTGCATTGTACACAAGTGTGGGACTCGACTGTGTATTGGTTCGTATCCTACCCTTGCAATGGATTCTTTAATAGTTCAAATAAAATACAATTGTTTGACAAACCGAGAGCTTTTTTAAACAATGTATTTCTTCTCGACCAGATATCACTACCAGCAATAGTGCAGATTATCCGATCATTTCGCGTTGAAGCTCAGTGTTGGCTAAATATCACTTCTACCCATGGGATTACCCAGTAAAAGGGGCTTTCAACCCGTTCGACTATGATTCGAGTTAGCTATATGTTTTGTCGTCTTATAATTTAACTAGGGCCTTATTGACCTATTCGTTAACAGTTTCCTTTTTAAATTACTACCTGAACACTTAATTCTGCCGGTTAAAGCACTCTATCGCCCAACTTTTCCACAGAATTGTGAATAATGGCTGTATTTAGTGATGATCATAGTGTGAAAATGGCGGCTATCTAAGTGCACCCTGGCCTTCACCGCTTGCGACCGGTTACTTTCTTGCGTCGAAATGTAAAGCAACAGCCCAGATGGCAAACCCATCCATCGAATTCACCAGTACTAGTCGTTAATGCATCGAATTCTGATTCATTCATTCAAAGCAAACAGCCATCAACGGATAGTCACATGATTGACCCACAAAAGTCAGTACAACCCCCAGAAAAAGCGCTGCAAGGCTAATGGTAGAAGCATCACGTCTCTGTGATGACCAGATGGATGATCTAATTTCTTAGCAACCTAGTTAGACGTGCTCAACGATATACTGTTTTCAAACAGTTCCAAAATTCAAATGCGTTTGTATTTCACTGCACCATCAATGAATGTTTCAATTTTATTTACCACGAAACTAAGTGGACAAGACTGGTTGTATTCATGGCTTTGGCGTGAATCATGTTTTATAATCTCTCCCTAAATTATTCAGTTCTAATTGCTCCCTAGAATCAATCAATAAATCAATGTTATACTCCTACAAGTGACCAACAAACGAATTTTCTCGTTCTGTTCTCTGTTCCCGTCTTTATTGATCACCTAAAATATAATTTATATAGGATTTTCCTACCAGACGTTCGGCTTATTCAAAGTGGAATGAGGACCGAGACAACCTGGTTCGCTTTCTCTATTATTCCGCATCATTATGTGTGCAAGAAGATCTGTTAACTTCGGAAACTGTGGACAAATTATTCGTGGGTGGTAAGTATTCGATCGATTGCACCCTCTAAACTAACTACCACTTAGATTAATAGCAACACATGTATCCCCGAACACAAATAATAACCCATTTCTGTCGTAAAATAGCATTATTTACGAAGTAAATTAATCACATTTTTTGCTTGCAGATTACCGTCAAACTTATCATCTCAATACGATAAGAATAGAGTTAGTTTTTATCAAAACAAGAACACATACACACAATCAATCAAATTCAACAACGTCTTTAATTTTTATCCGGAAAACTGGGCGAGGTGTAACTACTTATTATTGTCATATTAACTAGCTCACTGAAACTAATCAAGCTAAATGAGAAGTGTCATGTGGTTTGACGATGTGGGCACATCGTTTAAATCTCGTCTAATCAATGTGTCGCGGCATTTGATACGATTTCAGCGGTCAACTGCGTAGCATACGATCGTCATAACTTGTCATTTCTTACCTAAGCTTTGCAATCATAAAATTTGAAGAAAATAAAAGTTTCTATTATGCCTGTTCGCCGAACTTGGCCATTTGTTTGCAACCGTTTCATCACCAGCCGAGATGACATCATCAGTGCTTGTGGAGTGGCCACTTCACAGTAAACGGTCCGTCTTCAGGATATGCGTCTAATCTGGAAAACCAGTAAC